TGAACCTGTATTATGTGTGGCTCAGTTCATGTTTGTAGTATTACTGGGGTAGTTTAATGGGGAAAATGAATATTGGTATAGCAATATATATGTATATTATTTCACTTTTTACTTCAAAGCAAGCACTTTTACCAAAACAAATCAATCAAACATATTACATTTTTTAAATCTACATTTTCTTTTGATTCAACATTCTTTTAATCTTAATTAACTATAACTTTTCTATGTGTATTCAGACCTACATATAATAAATGAATAAAAGACACTCAAAAACCTAAAGCAAGCTTCTCTTAAGCTTCACTGTATATTTTCAGATACAACAAGAATATAAAGCAAAGAAGTCCTACACTGGTGGCATCTCCACTTTAATGTCATCTCCATTACATCGACAGAGTCCTAGCTGTCAACTGGAGACACTCTACAGCATCTGATTGGTTCAAATCAGATATAAAGGTATGTCAGGCATGCAGTCTGTGCACCTCACTGTTGATTCACCTGTGTAGAGAGACACATGTCCATAGGGTTTGGGCACTGACCTGATCTGGTTGAAAAGACACCCTGATAATACTATACATAATACTAGTAAATGCCTATTACACAACTAAAGAAAGGGACATCTTATTTTTTTCATAGTGTATATATATATATCCAAGGAGACAAAGCAGGTGACATAGAACTGAAAATGGACTTGTACATGTTGAAACCTCTTCATCTTTTTTATCTTTGTATCCAAGCTATGATGTGGACTTTATCGATTGTCTCATCTTTAGTAGAATTTATCAAATGAGGATAAAACTGTCAGTTTGGTATATACCCATGCCTTAATTGAAAAAATATGTCTTAATATATATCCCATTGAAGAAAAGGACTGAGACACAACTTGAATTTTTAAAAACATTTTATATACTATAGTTACAAACAGAGTATTTTTTGACTTGCACATGTGCAAATGCATGTACATGAAACATGGTCACAATAGACAATTGGGAAGAATTGGGAAGACGTCTTTCATGTTGCTTCATGTAACTGATGTAGACAGATCATGTACTGCTGCAAGATCAACACCATTGCTCTACAGTGTATAAAATTACTTTTATCTGAACCAGACGTAAAAATGGATACATACTTTCAGAACCAATTTTTATTTTTTCGGTTTTAGGTGCTTAAATTCAAGTTTTAACATTGCTTAACAATTAAGGAATCATACTTCACAAATTATCATGGAAAATTTCAACTCAAAAACAGGAAGTACTGTGTGATGATGAATCCCCCTCCCCACCCCCTATCCCCTTGGCAGACAAAGAAAAAGCTACACGGCATCTTCCTGGTTGACAGGTGGGGTAAACACATCGCCAATAAAAAAATGTTATCAGCAGGTAGAACTAGGTTATATCAATAGCAAGTACCTAGTGTAAGCTGTATGGATGAAAAACAAACACAAAAAAGGCCCCATGCACGTGATGTGACCTTCATGTCATTAAAGTAGGATGTCTCCATGGATTGCAAATATTGCATTACACTTTATGTATGATTGTTAGACATAGTAAACCTTTGAAGAGATGCTTCCAATACCTATTCAATAATTTTTTCTCAGTCAAAATGCAGTATTACAACATCCAACTAAATTAAAGGATTTTAAGGTTATGTAATGGTAATCATAATAGAATGCAATGTCTCTTATTGGGTTGTGTCATAAAATGTGAAGATTACATGTTATTTAACATTCAAATCATGTCCCAGGGTTGACAATGTATAATGTATATACAATTGTCAAACCAGGCTATTGATGACATTGATGATAACAATTAATATCTCCATAAGCTGCAAAGTTATATATGTCATTAACAGATAATTACCATAGTGAAACTTGAGCAAGAACATACAATAATGATAATATAGAACTTTTTCTTTTTTTCACCTGAGGTAAAGGAATATAAAACAATAAATGGTATCCCTCCCAAATGTTTATGCAAACAAGATCCAACGGGATCTACAATTGAAAGCCGATTAGTTGATTTGTTGGCTGTATATCATAAAAAATAATTGAAAATTGAAGATTTTATTACAACAGACTTGTCAAAGTTTTTTATGGAGACTGCGTCATGATACTTATTAGTTTTCAGGATGATTTCTACAAAAATTGACACAAGTATTAAAGGTCTGGTGATCAACAAATATTAGTTAATATTTATTCAGTGTGATTAATTTTGAAACTCAGCAAATGATTAGATTACGTTCTTTATCAGTTGGGCGAGTATATGTAACATATTAGCAGCAGTGTGTGTGTGTATGTGTCTGGATCGAATCTCGGATCTGCTCAGGTGAGTCATTACCTCATCTGTGGACTCAGAGCGGGGGGACCAGACATGTTGACACAGGACAACGTACAGCATCATAGAAATCTTGGAGTCACGGGCCAATATTTGGAGTTGAGAGTCAATTTTTGAGCATTTGCACCCCTGTCTGTATCGTGCATGCCATTAGAAAAGAAAGTTATGTACTCTATTGCTTCATGGCTGACACAAAATAGACTTACTTCACACCCGAGTCAGATGTGACAGCTCGGTGACCATGATGTCAAGGTAAATGCTGTTCTGATAATAATTCTCCATATAGAATATGGAGAGAAGAGAGATGAATGTACTACAATGCAGTATAGCTAATATGTACATCACTCAAGAGTTTTTAAACTTAAAAGTTGCAACAGGCTCAGGTGATATTGACACCAAGGTAAAAGGTGCAGCTGATATGATATTTTGAGTAGAGTAGAGTAGGAGAGGGGATGCTATACTGACAGGTACAACACACCTGCGGCAGTACAGAATAGCGAGGAGGTCACAGACAACAACATACATGTACATAGATGTCACAGTGTACTGTACATCTGTAAAATATTCAGTGCCGTGTAACATGAACGAAATGCCCGAGCACACAGGACATTTAATGATGAAATGCCAGGCTAATGGCTTACTTTAAGTGCTTACGCAGGTTGTAGAAAGATCAGACATGTTGTTAATATCAACAGGTTAATCTGCACATCTCATACTGAAGTGAGATAAATCTTCAGAATCAGGGCTACTAGTATATAAATGTATATACTAGTACACATAACCTTCAAGGCTGAGCATACATTTATATGGGTTTAATCATATTTATATTTTTTACGGCCCTGTAAATCGAAAGCAATAATATAGCTTTCCTTTTGCAATCAACAATTATTATTATGCTGGAAAGTCCCAATGGGTCAGTGCTACAAATATGAACATACAAATATTAGTTTATGAACAGATTCTGTTTATAAATTACCTAAATAATCAATTGCATAAAAGTTTAAAATTCCAGAGTTTCTCTACAAATGTATTCTCAAACACATAAATTCTGTAGCTTCAAATAATAAAAGGGTTGACAATGAACATGCTAAGCATTTCTGACCTCTCTTTGTTTTTCTGTGATAAGAACTTTATGAACTATTGAATGTGTTCCGAAAAGTTAAATATTAGCAACCTTGAGTTAGAACTTTGCTCATACTGAAGTTGCCATTGAATAAAAATAAAACTACCAAAGTAACACATTATCTTTATATTGTCTCAGACAAAAGTTGACTCTTCTTAGAACACATGGGAGTTACTGTAACATGTCCAACTTCTTAATTATGTGAAAGATTGATACCGGTAGAACATTTTCCCGTACAAGGTTTTATATTATATCTTCAGCATGGCTGCTGTTGCTTTGGACATTCCAAGTTTACCTGGATTTGATGATATTTTCTTTGGAATCAGACGAGACAGCATAGAATACACACCTGTGGTATGTATATTTTATTTATTTATTTATTTATTTTATTTTTTTTTGTAAACGTTCTTGAAAATAAAAGCAAGGAGTTATAACTCCTTGATAAAAGCAAGTACATTCTCATGTTAACTGAGATATGCATTTTGCAATTGCCTACAGTATAAAAAAAGTACTGACTAAAACAAAAATCAGCTTATATATTGTGCTTGTAGTTGGTACATTCTTGCACTGCACAATTTGGTGGAGATATAAAAATAGCAAAGCCTATGCAAGTCTTGAACTATCATATGACTTTTCCATTAATTATTTGTTGTTATTAACATAACCTACAATCAATTCTGTTGTCCCTGTCTTAATCAGATCTCTCATGCATGGTTTTAAAGTTAAGATTTAAACCTGTACTGAGTTAGAAAGACAATGCCCACTCAGTATTGAAATATGAAATGAACTTAATTGTGAAGATGATGTCAAAATCAACCAACTACTTAATATCTCCTGTTTTTGAACACACACACACACACACACACACACACACACACGGATCATCAGATTATGTTAAAGTGTGATTGCAACCCTCACACCTTGCTACAGTGTATCAGTTCCGTATTTTATGACAGTAATCATACGTTACCATAGTTGCCATTGAATACAAGGGGGCGGGTAAAGTGGTAGAACCAAGCACACATCCAGGCAGCTTAATAAAAGAAAGTCAAATTAGAGAAAAGTTGAGTTGAGACCTTACTGATCTTTAAACCTGAAGGGATACGAATAAACTTTGTAAGATTTTCATCAGTTTCCATGTATCATTGCCCTACAACTGCACATAAGTACATAAAATGTTTATTTATTTCAGAGGGAGGTAAATGTATTATAACTGTAAGGACTGAAATTGTACAACCAATGCAACCGTACAGCCTCACCTGCAGCTTTATTAGCAGTCAAAATGTGTACATGTCATTACCTTTTGAATTATAACAACAGTCTGACAAATAGAAAGATTTTGTCTAGAGAAAAAAATTATTTTGTACCCCTCAGGTCTCGTATGACAGGAAAAGAAATCTGAATTCTAGACGAGATAATTGGGCTACAAAACAACCATATGTCCCCTGGATATCTATATATGTAACTGCATGCTGTAATGTGGCCCTGCTTGAAAGTTCCGAAATGAATCACAAGCTCTGTTTCTTTACTTAATATTAACTTCCTGGTTTTGTAGATTTTTCCTGGTTTAAGAAGATTGTATTTACATCTGGGGCCTCTATGCAAATATTCTCATTCCTGTTCCTTCATTATTACAGTGTAATATATTTTGCTTATGTAAAAGATCTGTAGTACATTTTCTTGAAATACATGAAGATAGGTGCATTTAAATAATGCATTTTTTTACCCCAGTACTTCATTATACAGCTGTAGATGCCCCTTTAGCATACCTGCTTTCCAAAAATGTTTTTGAAAAATATTTTGATATCACCAAAGATTTTTTTCTTTTTTTTTTCCTTGCATTCAGTGATGAATTTAAAAGCAATCACTTCATCTTTATTTAACAATGTCAAAGGTTGGTTAAATGAAAACAAAAAAGGGCCTAAAAAACCATTGGCATTTCTTGCAAAAATATTATTATGATCTTATGCATGTAAAAACTTTGTTCATGCAGTTCTGAAAATAGAAGCAAGTATAATAATTGATTCTAGACATTGAAAACTGCAGCTTCGCTTGACACAATTGTTATATCTTTTAAAATTTAGTTCTTTATGACATCACATGGACTTTAATTGGGTCTTAAGTGTTTATAATTCTTTTTCAATTGTCATGCTGGGAAGAAATGAGATTCTGATGTGTAGGTTGAAGTGGGGCATCCTTCACATTACTATGTAGTACATATTGGCTAGTCTGGCTACTACATGATCATTGCAGACATTAAGTCCATTGTTGATCTTTATCCTGTATTACTTAAACAATTTAAACAAACAGAGATTCAGATTCAAAGATATGTCTTGTCAAAGATGGAGTCGTAATTGAGGGAAAAAAGAGTCCCCCCCCCCTCCACAATTAAAAGTGATATCCGAGCAATAACAGAGATTATAATTATATCAAAAAATGCACAAAAAAGTTTGAAAATGGGTCTGCTTGTACTTGCTTGCAGTTTTATATTTATATACATAACATGCTTTTTGGGAGTTCTCACGACAGATAAAATAAATAAACAAGGTTGTTGTATTTCCAGAACACCACTGTTTGGTTTTAAGTGCCTTGGAGGCTATAAGCTACTTTTTATCAATTCAAATTACCTTTGTCTGGGATTTCCTGTGCTTATGCCATTTTATTGTACTTCTTTTTTTTTAGATTTCAATTCTAATTATTTGTTAAACTCTCTAAAAAGAAACATACTATGAGCTATAAATTATACTTTAAATCATTTAATACAGAAAACTCCATCATTTGATGAAAAAATAATTAAAGAATAAAATAGGATAGTATATTTTACTTTTGAGCACTTTGAATTTTCCACAACAGAAAATAACTCGTCCAAAATAAATGGCCAATTATCACAGGTGACTTATCATGTGTGGTTCATCCTTCACGTAATGCAAAATGATAGGAGTTGAGTGAGACACCCGACCTAATGGACGTACCGAGTTTCCTGACACCTCTATATTTAGCATGGGCTCTAAAATATTATTTCTAGTTTGAAAGGAGACCCTTGGACACTGAGGATGGTGGATAACCCTATATTAGATAACAGGAGTCACTGGACTGGGTCAGATGACCCCTTGATATACAGTGTGCCCCAGTTAACATGCCATAAACCACCCAGATAGCATGCATACGTTGGGCCAACGTTGGCCCAACGTTGCCTTGGTTGACCATGCAACGTTGGCCCAACGTTGGGTTTCCATCTAAGTGCTCACTTTGGCCAACGGTTGGCTGAACGTCTTTTCAATGCCAACGCATTGCCAACGTATTCCCAACCAAACTGCGTTGGCCCTACATTGGGCCAACTAATAACCAACATTGCTCCAACAATTACCCAACCTGTAACCAACAGTGCATTTACGTTGGTCCTACTAATAACCAACATCAGTCCAACGATTACCCAACCAAACTGCGTTGGCCCTACATTAGGCCAACTAATAACCAACATTGGTCCAACAATTACCCAACCTGTAACCAACAGTGCAATTACGTTGGTTCTACTAATAACCAACATCAGTCCAACAATTACCCAACCTCAAACCAACAATGTATCCGCGTTGGCCCAATGGTAGGCCAACTGGTCACCAAGTTATCTGCAATTTGCACAACAAATTATGACCCAACCTAAAACCAGGGGCACAGTGATTTACAGTAACCCAACATTGAGCTAAAGGCAAAATCTTTTTTTTTTT